CTGGAGCCCAGACGCACTCAAAGAGATTATTGGCATGTCTCAGTAATTCATCAATCTCATTTTTTTTATTTGTTATTTATATAATTATCGAATATAATAATAAGACAATTAAATATCTACTTTTAAAACAATATATTCATTTTTATTCAAAAATATGAAAGTGTCTGTTTTGATTTGATTGAATTCATTTTTTAATCAAGAACAGAGTTGCAACACCCAGTTGACACACCAAACACAACAAAGACTGGTTTTGGAGTATTGTTGATGGTCATAGTTGCTGCCACGTTGTTGTATCTTCTCATGTAATTGGGTGCAGACCACACAGTCACCAGCTTGTTGTCAAAGTGATACTTGTACCCGCTCATCTCAAATTGGTGCGACCTTGCTATCATGTCGATTTTGTTGATGCAACAGAATTTGGCAACACAATCTCCACCAAAGAGATGCCCGACACTTTTACTCTTCGGTTGCATTCCAGATACATTGTCGTCGGGGTCTGACCACAACAGGTCGCACGCCAACCCATCGCAAATTTCTTCATTTCGCACAACACAATATCTCACCTGGTCGATTATTCTGAGATGTGGCGAGAGACCGCCGTGCACACAGAAGACGCTGTTGTCGATGACAGCAGACAACGGGAGAACGTCAAACAAACTGTTGAAGAGTGACCACAGTGTTGTGCTGCCATACTTCTTGATGCACTCGTCGTACAACCCATACGACTGTGACATTGTACGTGTCTCGTGGTTTCCCCTCAAAAGATGGATTCTGTCTGGGTACTTCACTTTCATGAGGAGAAGAAGGCACACTGTCTCAATTTGATGTGCACCTCTGCCAACGTAATTGCCAAGAAACAGATACTGCACATCGGGAAGTTGCCCATTAATTTCAATGAGATGGAGCAAGTCGTGGAGCTGCCCATGAATGCACCCACAGACTGTGACTGGCGATGTTATCGCAACAACATTCGATTCAAGACATAACAACGACTTTGAAAGAAAACACAGCTCAAGAATCGTGTGGTCGGGCAGCAAACAGCCGTGCTTTATTTGTGTGATACATTCATCAACATCCATTCATTTCACAGATTCGTTGAATCTTGTTCTATTTTGAATTTAAATCTCAAACTATTTAAACAAAATCAATTGTGTTTTTTATCAATAAAGTTCAATTAAAAATTAAAATATGTTTGTCAACTGAAAAAATGAACCAACTGTTACAAACAAGTTGCCGAATCAAGATTGTTTGAATAAATACGAAACAATTGGTTAAACAAGACTAGTGTGATGAAAAGAAATTGAGCTCGTCGAATTTCTTGTTGAGTGTTTCCACAAGTTGTTGTGCTGTCAGTCGCTCTTTTGGGTTTGTTTTCCAACACAGGCAGATAGTTTGATATGTCCACGTGTCCATCCCATTGTCGATGTCGGGTCGCTTGTCTGTTGTGATGAAGTTTGCGACATCCCAAGCGTGTTTGAACTTCTCTTTTGGGAATGCGTGTCCCCACTTCTCGATCTCATACATTGTGATTGCGTACGAGTAGATGTCTGCTGGGAACTTGTAGTGTCTCTTGTCAAGCACTTCAGGAGACATGTATGTTGGTGTTCCAATTCCCTTTGTGAATGTCATGTTTGTCATCATCATGTTGATGTTTCGCGAACTGCCAAAGTCAGTCAACTTTGCGTTGACAGGAACGTCTTCGTGGATAGACGTGACAAGGAAGTTGTCTGGCTTGATGTCTCTGTGCAGAATGCCATTCTCGTGGAGATACAGAATGCCACGCGCGCCATCAAGGAGGAACTTGACGGTCATTTTGTGTGTCAAGATCTTCTCTTTGTGCTTCTTCATCAGGTCTTGAATGCTCCCATACTCACAAAACTCGTTGACCATGCAGATTCTGTTTGGTATCATCACTGCGCCATAGAAGTGGACTAGATAATCGCTTCTGAACTTGTCCAGCATCGAGACTTCTTTCTCAAACTCCTCCATGTCTTTCTTTGTTGCTGCACCCGCCTTCATCTTCTTAATGGCAACCACATTGTCACGGAACATCCCCTTGTACACAACACCAAATGATCCCTCGCCAATGATCTTCTCTTCTTTCAGCTCGTCGTAGTCCAGTCGTGTCGTGATTGCCGTCTTGATGTGCACTTTGAATGGAACGTCAAACTGCTTTCCCGCACTCATGTCCAACACTACAAGTGCAATCTGCTCATCAAGTGTACACGTGCACAGCGGCTTAATGAAGATCTCAAACTCAACTGCCTTTCCCTTCTTCAGTGTCACAAGTTGTGGATTTGTTCTGATCTCGTACTTGTCGTTCTTGTCTTTAGTCGAGAGTTGCACTTTCAGACTCTTTGCCTTCTTGTTCCCAACACATATCAAGTCGCGCGACTCAACATCCACTGGGATGTTCGAGTCTGTTCGGTCTATCAGAAAGTCGACTTCACTCTTGTTTGCTACAAGACCACAATCACTGCTCAATGTCAAGAAGTTCATGTTGGACCGGCTGATGGAGAATTCACAGACTGTCGCGTCTCTGATCTTCTTCTGTCGCCACTTCCTGATTGCCAGAAACAGCGCAAATGAGCCTAACAAAACAACAACAATCACCACAAAAACAAGTGCTATTGGAAGACCAATCGCAAGACCAAGGTTTGTCTCCTTTCGGCACTCACTTCCACCACTCGACAGTTTGTAACCGTCTTTACAACTCGAACACACACTGTTCACTGCACTCATACAGAACTCCACTGTCGTGTAATACACACACTTCCGATTGACTAAAATGTAATCAGCTCCACAACTTTGGCAGAAATCAGACGACACACACAACTCACAATTCTCAGCACAAGTCTCGCACTTTCCTTGGTTCAAGAAATACCCACTCTCACAGCGTACACACCCAAACATATCATACTTCAAACAGTTTGTAAGTTCGCTCACTGGAATGCAACGAATCCCATTTGTGTCGTTCTGATAAAACCCGTTTTCGAGATTGCACGTCAGGCAATTGCCTTCACTCTGTGAACACGTCGTGCAATTGCTGCCACATTTGTAGCAATTTCTTCCCTGCCAATAATATCCATTTTTGCATATTGCACATCCTCCATCACTCAAAAACTTGACACATGACGTTTTTATGTCTTCACTCGAGTCACAGTGACTCGTTTGCACGTTGAGAACAAACCCAAAATAGCACGATATGCACGTCGTTGCATTCGTGTCACATTTCTCACAGTTCTTATCACATCGCTCACACTCTATCCCATCCATGAAATACCCACTTTTGCACTTCGCACAACCAGTCGAGCTTAGAATTTCACAATTGTTGATTGTCGCACTTTCAGAACAAACCGTTTCGCTGTTGGAAATGCCCAAAAGAGTTGTTGGTAGACATTTCACACACTTGTTTGAGTTTTCATTCAGACAATTTGCTATACCACTTTCTTTGCACTCGTTTAATGCGTCAAACATAAATCCTTCTTTACATATCTCACAACGACCCGTAACATTATTTAGAATAACACAATTCGACTCTTCAAACGAAACACACATGTCATTTACAAGCACAAAGTTGTCTTCACATTTCAAACACTTTTTGTTGTCACTTGAACACAACACACAATTCTGACCACACACTTCACACTTTCCATTTGTTATGTAATGACTGGTTGTGCATTTTAAACAGGTGTTGTTTGTAGTTGAAATGCAGTTGCTGTCACTTGTGCAAATTCCAATGTTGTTGTTTGACTCGTTGATACATATTTTGCACTCGTTGATCTTGTTGCACTCTCTGCACCCACACTCTGTACAAACTGGTGGATTTGACAAGTTTGGAGCAAAACCACGTCGACAAGACAGACAGTGCCCTTTCTGGTATGAACCCTCTTGGCAATTGATATCACTTGCGTCTTCTGCTTTTATTGAAGATGACACTTTTAATTTGTCGTTATATTCAAAACACTCACCCTTTTCGTTGTAAAACGAGCAATTTGCGTTTCTGTTATTTGGCGAGCACTTTGTGCCAATTTCAACAGTCGAGTAGTAGTTTGCGCACGACTCACACCCAACATTGTGCAACTCATCAAGACAATACTCGCGGTTTTCTATTTTAAGACACTTTCCATTCCTCAATGCAAACCCATCTTCGCACTCAACACACGACTGCTCGTTTGTAAGGTTGTCTTTGATGAAGCACCTCTTGCACCCATCTTCACATGTGATGCACACAGAACCCGAGTCAACTTCGTTGTGGCAGATCTCACAGACTCTCATTGTGCTTGAAACAAAGCCATACCCATCAAGACATCTGTTGCATTCAACTGCTGTTGTGTCAAAAGTGGCTTCACTTGTCGTGTAGTTGCAGCTGTAGCAGTTTTGTATTTGAAGGCGACACGCTTTCGAAGTTGTTTCTGATGTTTTGAATTCGTTTGCCTTCACTTCGACACACTTCCCATTTTCAATGTATGACCCAAAATTACATTTTGTGCATTTGACACCTCCCAAATTGTAACACTCGCTGCAATTCGATATCACCGAATCACACTTCAAACATGTCAAATCTTCTGTGACGTAATACCCAACTGCACATTCTTTGCATTTTGAAGTGTCAGAATAACATTTATCACAATTTGGTATTACATCCGAACAGGTGTGGCAAGTGTTGTCTGTGCCAACAGTAAATTCCTCTGAACACTTTGTGCAACTAGATGTTGACGCGCATTCTTCACAATTGGTCAGTGTATTGGAACAACTTTGACATGTGTTTGCATTCAATGTGAACCCATTTTTGCATTTCGAACAAGTGTTGGTGTTGGTTTCATACTCTTCACAATTGTTAATCGTGTTTGGATAACAAAATTCGTCATTTGACTTGAGGTTATACCCGGGTGCACAAGTTTTACATTTTGTTTTTATAACACTGCCATTAATCTTAATTATGCATTTCACACAGCCGTCAACAGTGCAATCTTTGCAATACCCATTTACCAATTGCCCATTTGGAGAAGACGTGAAAAGGCACTCTGTGCAAACAGGCGCTGTTTGTTGACACTTTGTGCAGTTTGCCATAGTGTTGCATGACAAACACTTTCCAACCCCATTTGGATATGTTCCTTCTGAACACTTTAAACATGTGCTATTGTTGCACTCAGTACAATTGGCATCAAACAAGTTACATGGATAGCACTTTCCCAATTTCAAATAATAATTTATGTTGCACTTCAGACACTCGTTTCTGGTTGTTGAAGTTTCAACACAATTGAGAGAACTCAAGTCGTAGCTTTGACAAACGCCATCATTTGGATAATAACTGGATTTGCACTCAACACAAAACCCATTCAAGTCACACGTCTTACAGTTGTCAACACTGCAACTCACACAACTCCCGTCTGTGAGAATTGTGTCTTCTTTGCATTTTGAACACTTATCATACAACTCACAGTCAAGACAATTCACATCAACACACTTCTGGCATTGTCCATTATCATCAACACCATACCCAACACCACACGAAAGACACCTCGAACTTTTCGTTGCACAAACGTGGCAATTTGGATTTGAAGTTGAGCACTCAACACAAACACCCTCTTTTAACATAAAAGAACTTTCACACTCGGTGCAATTTCCATCAACTGAACAACTCGAACAGTTTTCGTGTGCAGTTTCACAGTCGACACATTTGTATCCATTTCCATCTACCAATTCGGTGTAATAGTTTTTGCACTTAAAACAGAGACGACTTGATTCGTCGCAAATTTCACACCCATCTATCTCACTGCATTTGTGGCACGTGTTCTCTTCCAAAAAGTATCCCTCTTCACAACTGTTGCAATTTGACTCACTCGAACATCTTCCACATCTTTGCATTGTGTTGTTGCACAACGCGCATTGTCCACTCACCAAATAAAACCCATCCAAACATTTGAAACACTTCCCTGTTTCAAGTGAACATGCTGTGCACCCCTCTATCACTTTGCATGAGTTGCATGTGTGATCCGTGGTGTTGATGAAATACCCGTCTTGACAGATTGTACAATGCTCACTTGTACACTCCAAACACCCATTCGTTTTTGTGGTACACTCTGTGCATTGTGATGTTGGCAGTGCTGTTGAGAAGTGGGTTTTGTCACAACGCAGACAATCAATGCCAGTCGAGTTGCAGAGCGAACACCCAACAATCCCACACTTCTCACACTTCCCGTCTTTCAATGAATTGTTTGTGTTGCACTCAACACATTTGCCAGTTGTGTCACACCTGCTGCAACTCGCAACTGAACACGACAAACATCGCCGACTTTCTGGTGACAAGTAAAACCCATCAGAACACATCATGCAAAACACGCCATCGGTTGCAAGACACCCCAGCTGTGTTGTGTATTCTTTGCATTCACCTTCTTCCACAATAAAGTTCTGTTCACATTTTGTGCACTCTATTCCTGTGTTCGCAACACAGTTTTTGATTTGGAGACACTCACCATCTTGCAAATAATACCCACTCAGACATTTCGTGCAAATTCGAGTGCTTTCAACATTGCCAACAAGAAGGTTCACACATAACTCACACCCATATATCATTTTGCATGATTTACACGTCTTCTCTGGAAAGAACCCTTCTCTGCACACAGAGCACATGATGCTCCCACTATTTGAAGTGGCGCAACTTGTGCAGTTTTGTATTGACGAGGAACAACTTTTACACATCCCATTGTCGAGTATTAATTCACTCTGACATGATGCACACTTGCCGTTTAAAACTTCGTCGCACCCAGCATCTTCTTTGCTAAGACAAACATCCTCTGTGATCTGAATTGAGTTGCATGGCGTGTTTGACGCTTTTTGAACACAAATGTTGTTGTACAAATAATAACCGTCTTTGCAGACAGCACATCTACTGTCGTCAACACTGTCACAATTTGTTGGTTCAACACACTTTCCACTTCTGTCTAAAATTTTATTGTCTTTGCAGTTGGTGCACTTCCCATTGACACACCCCTCACTCCCACAAGACGACGTGTCACACTGAACACATTGTGGTCCATTCGAGTAAAACCCATTCGAACAAAAAAGACACTGTGTGTCAACGTTGTCACCGTTGCACTTCTCGCAATTTGGGATTTTCTCTTTGCACGACACACACATCCCATTGTTCAAAAACGAGTTTTCTAAACAACTCTCACATTTTGTATCATCACAGATTTTGCAATTTCTTGTTGAACACGACTCACACTTGCCTCCGTTTAAGTAATAACCACTTTTACACACATTACACATTTCTTTGCTTTGACAACTCTCACAATTTGCTGAACACTCTTTGGGTTATTACGATTTAAAATATAAACGTTTTTATAAATTACAAACTGTTACAAAATCCATTGCTGTAATAATAACCATTTTGTTGACAACTCGAACACATAATGTCGTTGCATCCAACACACCCTTCCCATCTTTGATTGCATTCAACGCATAATTTGTTTGACAGTGTCGAGTTATCGCCACACGCATAACATTCATTCTCAGAACAAAGCGAGCATTTTGAAAATTTGTTGTTGCACTTCACACATAAATTTTTGGTAGAGTCGAGATAATATCCTTCGGAACATTGACTGCAAATGTTGTTTGAACAGAGTGTGCATCCTTCATTGAAATCTCCACATTTTTGTGTTGTTTTATTGATCAACTGATACCCATTTTCACATTTTTTACACCCACTATTTCTATCACATTCCAAGCAATTTTCTCCAAATTTGTCTGAACACACTGGTCGTTAATTATTAAAATTAAACAAATAAAAACAAACATAAACATGGTGATTTACCTTTTTCTTTGAGATAATAGCCACTTACACACCCATCACATTTGTTTATATTAAAAAAACAATTCGTGCATCCTTCCATACAAGCTTCATGTTATTTTTTTATATGTATAAAAAGAAAACAAACATACACAAACACGGTTCTGAGAAGTACATCCTTCACTACAACTTCCACAATTGTTTATATCATTTCCACGTTTACAAGTACATAATTGTGCTTTTATACACAATAAAATGCTGTACAATAACAACATCATAATATTATATTTAAGTTCAAAAATAATTTTGATTGGTTAATGAAAAGAAACAAAATAATCCATTATAAAGCAATTTCTATTAAAAAAGATTTAACTTTTTATAAAAAAAAATAATAATTTTGCTCAACAAAGATCTTTTAATTTTTCTATTATACTTTAAAATAGTTTAAAATATAGTTGTCTGAGTTAATTTACATGTCTTCTATTTAAGTTTGATTTACTAATTTAGGAAACTCTTAAAAACAAAATGTTTGTTTTTATTATTATTCGATTTAATTCCTTTATAAGGTTTAAATTTCATCACTTTGGAACAATGCATTGTAATGTCAATTTATTCCATTTATGGTGTTATTTTTTGATTTTAGTAATTCAAAAAATTATTCTGTTATCAAATATATTTGAATAAAAGAACAAAATATAATATTAAAAAATCATTATATTTTACTCATAATGTTTAAACACTGTTGTGTTTTAAAAAAATCATGTAAAAAGTTGTATAAACGATTTAAAATACTGTTTCAGTCTTAATAACAATTTTCTTTCGTTCTAATACTTATAAATAATAAAATTATTATAAGTATAACGAAAATAATGAAACAAGCCAATCTTGTGTGATTCAAAGACCCTTTCGCTGCAAAATTTTGGTGAACATGAGGCAGTTGAATAGTGCAATTAAAAACTAATTGAAAACAATTGTGCAATTTTGGTTATAGTTTAGTTATAGTATTTTAATTAGATTATTAGTTTTAAAAAAAATGTTTGTGTTTTTGTGTTTTGTTTTATAAAAACGTATAATTGTTTTATTATAATTATACTATAAACAAAGTTGCTTATTTTCTTGAATGACTTTAATTAAATTCAAATTAAAACTCAGATATGTTATTGAAAACAAAACTTAAAATTATTATACAACAACTTCATCATAAATTAAATTTATTATTTTATTGATGCACACTATTGTATTTGATCCAAAGAATTGTTGTTTAAATCAATTGTAATATAGAATTACACTAAAGTTAGTTGATAAACGTTGTCTTATTGACATAAAAATATTTGATAATAGTTATATTAACCTTACGAAGTGAAAACTGGATAATTTATATCCTTGATTTTTTTACTTAAAATAAGTCACTTTTTTTTATTTTTGTATTTGAACTAAAAAGATCTTAAATTAAGAACTGCGTGTCACAAACCAATTTAAATAATGAAAAATTGATAAATTCCGAAACGCTCTAATGAAAATTCATGTGTATGTCTCGTAACAGCAAGTGTTGACTATTTTGAACACATGGAAAATAGAAAACATGGGTCTGTAAAGACCAGTTATTTGCGCGAAAACTAATCGATTTCGTGTTTTGAATTTATTTTTAATTATTCTAAAAATAAATTATGATCTAGATAAATCTTATCCAGATTTCACCTTCCCACAAAAAAAGTTGATTCAGTTGACTTGCTAAGGTTAACGAATAAATCAATATTTTACATTTAATTTTAATATCACCGTCTTACAATTGTAAAAAAATAAAACGTCAAATTTTGCTTATCACAACTTTATTTCTCAATTCTGTACTCGACTTGCAACACCACACCAATTGCAACAATTTGATTGTTGTCACTGACCACAAATTTTGCCAATTTCTCACACAAAGTGATATCCTCTATATATGCCAATTTATCGGGAAGTATCTTTACAACAGCAACATCCCCTGTAGTAATTACTTCGGGGTTTTCCTCTTCTACTTCTCCATTACTTTTATTGATCAACGACTGTAATTTCTTAATGCAACATGGAATGTGACAAGCTCCTACATTGAGTGTTGGAGAATATCCGACTCTAATATTTCTTCTTTCTCCAACGACGACAATTTTCGCACAAAAACTGAGCACCGACTTCGGCTGCGTTTTCTCAGTCACTACCATCCCTCTTTCTATGTCGCCTTTTTTCACTCCCTCAACACAAAACGCAACGTCAGCACCAGCCAAAACCTTTTCTCTCTTCACGCGATTTTGCTCGATTGATAAACACTTTCCAGTCATTTTTGAGGGAAGAAACGACAGCATAGAACCCACCTGCAAAGTCCCAGAAACGATATATCCATTGATTATGGTGCCCACTGATTTTGTAACTATCAAGCTGTGGACAAGAATTCGCAGTGAAGAATTTGTCAAATGAAGTGGTGGATGAAACGAACAAATCTCGTTAAAAAGTGACTTGCCAGAGTACCACGGCATTTTTGTAGTTTTCGAATATAAGTTATCGCCACTCTCCACACTGACTGGAACAAATTTGACTTTTTCTTTGTCGAGAGATGTCATTTTGAAAAACTGAAAAAGATCTGCTTTTGTTGATTCAAAAAACGCTTGTGAGTACTGAACACTATCCATCTTGTTTATAGCAACAATGACCTCCGAAAACCCCGCACAATGGAGTAGAAGCACATTACTCATAAGAGAACTTTTGCTTGCGGACTCGTCTTTTTTTGTCGGGTTAAGTCGAGCTTCATAGACTAACACTCCAACATCACCACAGAAAATCCCCGTCATCGCATTTTTTATATATTTGGGATTGCCGGGCGTATCAATAAATGTAACTCGCTGACTCGAAGTTTCAAAATCAAATGTAGAAATGTCGATCGAG